ACTAAGTCTAGTACCCACTGGTTATTTTTTCTGCTCCTCTCCCTCCTCCCACCCTCCACCCTCAAGGAGGCCTTAGTGTCTGTTGTTTCTCTCTTTGTGTTCATGTGTTCTCATCATTTAACTTCCACTTATGAGTGAGAACATGTGCTATTTGGTTTTCTGTTTCTGCATTAGTTTGGTAAGGATAATGGCCTCCAGCTCCATCCTTGTCCCTACAAAGACCTATCTCGTTCTATTTTATGGCTACATAGTATTCCATGGTGCATAAGGACCATTTTTTCTTTATCCAGTCTATCATTGATGGGCACTTGGACTGATTACAAAATGATTAATATCATTTTAATGACTTGAGTGATAAGATTTGGCTTTGATTGACCTGAGGCCGCTACCAGTAGGCTAATCAGGCAAAGAATTTACTATCTCTGGAAATGCACAAGAAGACTGAAGACACTTCCCAAAGAGGAGTGACCACAACACGTGAGCTGTGGTGGCAAGGATGAGTCAGTGATCAACTTCCCTGATGACCTGTCTGAGAGGGATAGCTCTCTTTCTCGGGGATAATTTCTGATGGGCTTATTAAAACCTTTTTCTAGATGTTTCTTGAAGAAGCAGTGCAAGGTGATTTATTTGGTCGGGGCAGGATGTGGGAGTTCTGAAACACCTTTGTGTCTGCAGCAGAGCAGCCCCAGAGAGTGGAAATGTGAGTCACACGTGAGCTCGCTTCCGTTCAATGGGCCCTGTCTTGTTGGGCCCTGGGTAAGTGGGCTGCCCGCCAGGAAGCCTCCTTTGGCTGGGGCATTCCAAACCCCTTCTCTTGTTCTTTAAAGATACACCCTGAGGGATTTGCTGGGACTTGTGCCTTCTGTACTCCAGACCTCGTGGCAGAGACTGGGATTTTGGATTTCACTGAGTGGGCAGCTCTTAGGCCCACATGAATCCCCTCTGTCTCCTTAGGAAGGTTGGACCAGAAGGCCTCAAAGACTGCAGCCAACTCTGGGCTCTCCAATACTGAGGTCACTGACGTGCTTGCTAAGATGGAGTCTTGCTCTGTCACCCAGACTGTAGTGCTATGGTGCCATCTCAGCTCACTGCAGCCTCTACCTCTTGGGTTCCAGTGATTCTCCTGCCTCAGCCTCCTGAGTAGCTGGTATTAAAGGCATCCGCCACCACTCCTGGCTAATTTCTGTATTTTTAATAGAGACCGAGTTTCACCATGTTGGCCAGGCTGGTCTCGAACTCCTGACCTCAAGTGATCCGCCTACTCAGCTTCCCAAAGTGCTGGAATTACAGGCATGAGCCACTGCGCCAGGCCTACATTTTATTTTTTATTGCTCTTATTTAGATTTATCTTCTTAGATTTATTTACCAAATTTTTTTCTAACAGTTGATTCTTGTACCTTACCCCTTATCTCTGGATTCAGTTTCCTTCTTCATGAAATGTATCCTTAACCAGATCACTTGAGAGTCGTCATTTGTAACCATTCAGGTTTTGTTCACCCCAAAAGTATATTTACCCTCTCTTGAATGATATGGAGCTTTAGGGCAAAGGTTCTTTTTCTTATATTATTCCACTATTTTCTGGCCTCTTTTTTTACTTTTGCTATTGAAGAGTCTACTGTTTATCTAATTGTTACTCTATAGGCAAAACTGCTTTTTCCATTTCTCTGTATGTGGGTGTTTTCATTTTTTATTATGATGTGTTTTGGTATAGGCTTTTCAAAAATTCGTTTTCAGAACTTGATATGCTCTTTCAATTTGAGGACTCGTGAGTTTCTTTAATCCTAGAAAATGTTCAGTCATACCTCTATATTCCTGTTAACCTAGTAGGCTGGATACGTGTGACTCAAGTAACAGAAACCCAACTCAAAATAGCTTTAAAAACAATTTTTAAACTCGTATTGCTTCACATAACAAAAAGCCAGGAGAAAACTGACTTCAGGATTTATTAATTTATTAGCCCAAGGATCAGCCTTTCTTTTCGGCCATGCTCAGCATGCTGGCTTTGCATCCCTAATGGTCTCAAGATGGTTGCCACAGCTCCAGGCTCCCTTTCTGTCTTTGCCACCAGGGTCATTAGAGAGATTTATCTTCCTTGTGTCTTTGTGAGATCAAAGCAGCTTTACCCAAAAATCTTCCCCCTTTCCCCCATCAAAGACTTTTCCTCCTGCCTAACTACAGGCGGAGACTGCCAGAACTGCAAGAAGAAAGGGAACACAGGGATTAGTTCAGACCGATCAGGATCTGTATTCCAGAACTAGGGATAAGATCCGCCTTCTCTGGGGTACTTGGAGGAGGATTAGACACCCGAACAAAGTTCGAGGTCTGCCAGTAAGAACAAACTAAGAATGGCTGCTGGGTAAGTGCCCAACAGTGTCTGCTCGTTTCATTCTCTCTGCCCTGTTGGACATATGTTGGATTTTCTCAGCCTGTTCTTCCAGTATTTTGACTTGTATTTTGACTTTTGTTTCATAGTTTTAATTTCTTACTTTTTCTGACTGCATTCTGAGTAATTTCCTTGGACCTCTTCTAGGAACCATCTCAGTTAACCATCTTTCTCTTTATCTATATTTGCTGTTTAACATACCCATTAGTTTGTAATTTTGATGACTAAAATTTTAATTTCTACAAGTCCTATTTGGTTCTTTTTTACAACTGCGTTTTTTTGTCGTTTTTTGTTTTATGATATCTTGTTCTTTCATTATGATGTCTGGTTCTTTTTCTTTCTTTCTTTCTTTTTGAGATGGATTTTCACTCTTGTCACCCAGGCTGGAGTGCACTAGCATGATCTCAGCTCACTCAACCTCAGCCTCCTGGGTTCAAGCAATTCTCCTGCCTAAGCCTCCTGAGTAGCTGGGATTACAGGTGCCCACCACCACATCCAGCTAATATTTGTATTTTTAGTAGAGATGAGGTTTCATCATGTTAGCTAGGCTGGTCTCGAACTCCTGACCTTAGGTGATCCACCTGCCTTGGCCTCTCAAAGTGCTGGGATTACAGGCGTGAGCCACTGTGACCGGCTTCTAGGCATACCTAGAAAGTGTACTCATAGCACAAAGCTGGAGTAACAAATATGTTGCTTAACTGAATCAAAATTCAGAATATTTTGGCAGCCTGGAAATATGGGCCTAAATATGTAAAGGGAAATTTAGTAGAAATAACGTTTTATACTTAGGCTTAAAAACATCAATTCCATATGTTCAAAATTAGGGACATCTGCCTTCATAGAAATTTATGTATGTATAAACTTTGGGGTTTAGTTGATCACACACTTATATAAGCCCAACAAAATTAGTTCGTTGCTATAAGAAAATTTTTTGAGACAGGGTCTCAGACTGTCCCTCAGGTTAGAGCTCAGTGACACAAATAGCTCACTGCAGCCTCGAACTCTGGGTTCAAGGGATCCTCCCGCCTCCGCCTGCCAAGTAGCTGGGAATACAGGCATGAACCACCATTCCCGGATAATTTTCTTTGTATTTTTCTGTAGAGACAGGGTTTCGCCATGCTGCCTGGGCTTGTTCTCGAACTCCTGAACTCAAGCAATCGCCTGCATGGGCCTCCCAAAGTGCTGGGATTACCACTGTGAGCCTCCGTGTACCCTGCCTCCAGAAAATGTATTTTTACAGTGAATAGTGGAAAGAGATTATTCTGATCATGGAGAAAATTGCTCTTTTGGACTTGACATCTAGAATGGTGTGTTCAATTTTGGGGACCCACATCAAGAGGGTCATAGACGTCTGAGAGCAAGTACAAAGCAGGGAAGCTAAGTTAGTGAAGGGTCTGGAAACCACTATACTATAAGGGAAACTTTCTCACTGGCCCTTAAGACTGCTGGTGAGGGGAAGGGCTGCCTTATTAACCCGCACACTCCCTCTGGACAAAGAATGTTTGAGTAGAGGCCACGGACCTACCACGAGGGTTGTGGGGATAACCCCGCTGCTGTGTGTAGGCAGATTAGGCACCAGAGTTTTTGTCTTGATCATGGAGAACAATCGTTCCTTTCTTTTTGGTGTTTTCTGTGTGCAGAGAACGAGAGCAGGTGGGGACAGTGATCTGTGGAGTTTTTTGGCTCACTGAAGTATATGAAGAGTGTTGGAGAAACATTGGTCTGTAGGATTGAATGTTAACGAGTGTCAGCCTGGAGACTTAGCCAGCGATCCCAGCCAGTCTCCTGAGAGCAGGGACGGCACCTTATAGACAGTGATGTCTGTGGGCTGAGACCTCAAATGGTGCCTCCACTTCCCCATTTACAGTTGTGTTTCCCCTCCCTCGCCGTATCTGATGACAGCAGTCATGATGTCGCCGTATAAACTGTACCTGATTAATCCCTGCTCAGCGAGGTCGGAATGATTCCCATGAGAATCTTACTGTCGAACTATTACGAGCACCAAAACTGACTGGCGGTGGGGCTAAAATGTGGATTTGATTCTGTAGATGGAGCTGCGGAGCCTGAGGTTCTGCCTCTCTAGTGAGCTCCTGAGTGACAGTGATCCTGCTGGTTCAGGGCCCACCCTGAGTAGCCAGGGTCTAAACACAGCAGTCTGCAGAGTGTCTCCCACAGACCACTTGTAACAGCTGTCCCTCCCCCACCGCCCCGCCCCGCCCCACCCCAACCTGCTTGTTTAAAATGCAGATTCCTAGGCTGTGCCTGTGATCTCTGAGCCCAGAACCTCTTGTGGTGGAGCTCAAGGATCAGCTTTCTGCACGGGCACTTCAGAGGATTCTTAAGCACATTAAAGGTTTTGAATCACTGGCCTTGGGAAAATGGATAGGATGGGTTAGACCAGAGGAAGACACTGGTCAGGGGGACATAATCAGTTTCACACAGAGTTGGTTGTAGGAAATGGCCCGCTTATGCAGTGCATGGGGAAGACCGGCTGAGAGTCTGCACTAGCTGGGTGACCTGAGGCACAGCCTTTAAACCTCATCTTTCTTCCCTAAAGTGGAGATGATGTGATTTGATGAATCTTTTCCTGTCCCCTGGTCCTGACTTATCTTTCCAGTCATCCAGCATGCTCTGCCCCCCCCATGCCGAGGTGCACTGACCATGAGCCTCAACTCCTCCCTCGGCTGCAGGAAGGAGCTGAGTAACCTCACTGAGGAGGAGGGCGGCGAAGAGGGCGTCATCCTCACCCAGTTCATCGCCATCATTGTCATCACCATTTTTGTCTGCCTGGGCAACCTGGTCATCGTGGTCACCTTGTACAAGAAGTCCTACCTCCTTACTCTCAGCAACAAGTTCGTCTTCAGCCTGACTCTGTCCAACTTCCTGCTGTCCGTGTTGGTGCTGCCTTTCGTGGTGACAAGCTGTATCCGCAGGGAATGGATCTTTGGTGTCGTCTGGTGCAACTTCTCCGCCCTCCTCTACCTGCTGATCAGCTCAGCCAGCATGCTAACCCTCGGGGTCATTGCCATCGACCGGTAAGCATGCCTCAGACTTAGAAAATTGAGGGATTACTGATGGAAGCTCATCTTGGTGCAGTGTCCCTCTGACTGCCTTAGTTCCCTGGAGAGTGTCAGGGCCCCCTGCCAGGGGAGGATGACCAGATAGAGTTCTGCCTCTGCAGCCACATCTTCAACCAGACATGTCTCGTTTTGTCTGTGTATGTTACATACAATTTTATATTTTAGAAAGAGGTTCCATTGCCTAAAATAAAACATTCTAGAAACCTCTGATTCTTGGTTTGTCAATGAAGAAGCCAAAGCCGAGGCAGGTTTCAGTTCCGAGCAGCACTGGGGCCGGGGCCCTTGACTCTGCTGCTGTTTCTCCCAGTGTGACGCCTGCTCTGTCTTGCTTTGGTGTTGACCAGTGGAGCCCAAACAGGGAGCACCCTTACCAAGTCCAGCTCAGCTGCAGAGACCCCCACCCAGGCAGCGCTGAAGGAATTGGAGGCAAACACCCAGATAGAACAACAAAGTGGGACTATCTGGGGGGCCAACAGCCTTCTGAGCTGAGAACCTCAGGGGACTGACAGCATTCTGGGCTGAGGGCCTCGAGCAGACTCTGACCCACATATTTCTTGGTGCTATGAGGTGGTTAATAATCATCACCACAGGTGTTCTGTGTTTTCTCATAGCACCAAGATAAACCAGGTAGGCAGCTGGTGCCTGCTTACCACTAATCATAGACAAACTAAAAAGTATTCTCCACAAGGGCGCCATGGTGCAGGGTCACATATCCCGCACTTAAAGAATTGTTTTAACTGGTGTATAATATGCAGATACTATCTTGCTACTTTAGAATGCCCCAAGTAGTTTTCCACTTTGGGGGAGAGGGTGGTGGCTAGGTTTTCCTTGTCATCGTTCTTCTTAGCAAACAATATAATTTATTCTCAACACATCCTCACTCCCCACAGTCCAGGACTGGAAGGAGAGCAAGGGGAAGGAAGACAGCCAGAGAATACAAGCAGTGACACCCGGGAGAGGCAGTGTGCCCGTGTGGTAGCTCGGCTGCCCCTGCCCTCAACGTCTCTAGTGCACAAGGAGGTCAGGTGCGGCTGATGTTCCTGAGTGGCGTATTGCGGGTTCTTCAGGTTCCCACATTAAGCTGTCAGATTTTGTTGTACAAGTCTTGTGGGCTTTGGCAGCGAGTTTCCCACAAATGAGTGCATTTATTAGAATTTTGCTAAGGGCCGCTTCATTCATCACAGGCATAGGTCGGGCTTCATGAGGACAGGGAGGATAGATTCAGGGTATGTGTGATTTACAGGAACTGGGGAGGGGAGTAAGTCGTAGGGTCAGGGAAAACATGGAGCGGGGCGAGCCAGGGGTGTTGTCACTGGGTGAGACAAGTCCCCGGGCTTTTTTGAGACTGTCAGTTTTTCAGCCGATGAGTGGTAGTGGAACTGCCCACCGGAGCACAGACTGCAGTTAGACCTGAGGCTGGAACCTGGCAGCTCTTTGTGGCTATGTGGCGGAGGCAGAACCAATGAAGCCATTGGTCAAAATGAATCAATTAGCTTCTTTTTTTTTTTCTTAAGTGATAAAAGTAATAAAGAAAATACAATGAATGAAATTAGAAACACTCATGATCTAATCAACCAGAAGCAATCACTGTTGATGGTTTTAGAATATTTGCTTCCAGTAATTTTTGGTTGTACACAGCAAATTTTTGAAACAGGCTTCTGGCACCTATGGTTTTCTGACCTCCTTTTTTCATTTAGGTGATTGTGAGCATTTTCTCTTCTTTGCAGATATTCTTGAAGAAGGTGATGTTTCACGGTCATGGGCTATTCCATCCTGTGGAGGTTTATAAATTATTTTTACAGGCTCCTATTACTGGTTTAGGTGGCTTCACATAGCTCGCTATTCTCTATGGCATTCTGAGGAGCATCTGTGTTTGTGGAATTGCTGTATTCTCAGTAACAATAAACATGCTTTCAAGATTCTTGATATATATATAGAGCAAATGACCCTTCAGAAAGTTGTACGAATTTGTATTTCAGCAGCTGTTTGTCAATATCCTATCAGCATTGATTATATAACTTTTTTTTTAAAGAAAGTTTGGAAATTTATTGGCAGTGGGGAGGAATGGGATCTCAATGTTTTAACTTTTATTTTTGTGAATTATTAAGTGTTGAACATCCCTTTTTGGGCCCTGGGTCCCGTGGAACATGGAGTGAGGATAAACAGTTTAGCTGCAGAGATGGAGAGCTGGTCTCTAGGTGCCCCTCTCAGAACTGTGTCTGTATGGATGCTCAGTGAGCATGCCGGGGGCATCTGCAGGGTTAGTTCCAGGACACTGTAAGCTGCTTGCTTAAATCTGTGGTCTAGATGAGTGAGAATGAGACTTTCTACCAGCAAGCACGACAAATCCTCGAATCATGCCAGCAAAGTACTTCATCCGAGAGAGGATTTACCTCCTTCAGTGCCTCATTTGACACTGGGAATATTGGTTGGATGTGTATTCCAGGAAAGGCCCATGCCGAATCCTTGGGGTGGTGGGCTATAAGCATGAGCAGGAGCAGGACACAGATCCTGCCCACCAGGGGTTTACAGTCCAGTGGCAGAGGCTGACTTGTGGGTGATGATTTAACACAAAAGTAGAAATAACTGCCATAGACAACTCCACCAGCCATCACTGCTGATGGGCTGGGCAGCAAGTTCTTCAGGGAGAAGGTGGCATTTGAGCTAGGCTCCTAAACAGCAAGTAGGATAGCACAGGTAGGTAAGAGACGGAGAGGCCCCTTCTCACTGAAGGAGCAGCTTCCACAAATTCACTTGGTAAGCAATTATTGAGCTCCTATTATATGCCTATCACAGTTGTTGGTGCTGGGAATACATAGCTGAATAAGATGAGTAAACATGCTGAGGCTGGGCATGGTGGCTCATGCCTGTAATCCCTGCACTTTGGGAGGCCAAGGTGGGCAGATCATCTGAAGTCAGGAGTTCAAGACCAGCCTGGCCAACATGATGAAATCCTGTCTCTATTAAAATACAAAAATTAGCTGGGCATGGTGGCAGGTGCCTATAATCCCAGCTACTCAGGAGGCTGAGGCAAGAGACTCACTTGAACCCAGAGGCAGAGGTTGCAGTGAGCCGAGATCGTGCCATTGCATTCCAGCCTGGATGATAAGAGTGAAACTCTGTCTCAAAGAAAGAAAGAAAAGAAAGTAGAAGTGGAGAAGAGCAAGGGCAGTGGGTGTGATTTAGGCTATAAAGTGTTACACGCTTATCATGTGCCAGGCACTGCACTATGTATGCTGTTTATCAACATTTAGCTCAGCTAACCCTCATGGCAAGCCTGTTAGCCCCTATGTTGCAGGTGAGCAAAGTGAGGTTTTGAGACCTTAAGGTCTCAGAGGTCACTTGCCCAAGGCTGCGTGGCTGGTAAGGAACTCCCCTGGCTCTGAGATGCCCAGGCCTGGATGCTTTGTCATTGTACAGCACTGTCAACTCAGTGCTGCCAGTCAAGCCCAGCAGCCAGCTAGAGTTTCTCCACCTTAGCACTGTTGACTTTTCAGGCCAGATAATTCTCTGTGGTAAGGAGCTGTCCTGTGCCTTGTAGGATAGACAGCAGTGTCCTGGCTTCTACCCACCACATGCTGGAACATCTCCCCAGCCATGACAGCCCAAAATGTCTGTAGACATTGCCACATATACCCAGGGGTTTCCAACTGAGAACCTTAGCTAAAGAAACTGGCTGGACATATGAACCCAAAGAGTCCGTCCTGTAGCCCCATGAAAAGAGAGCAAAGACAGACATAAAAGGACTGGCTGCCTGGAGTGAAGTTCACAGTGCGTCAGTGTCCTAAGCCGGCCAAGTGGAAGTAGGGCCTGCTGGGGACACCATTTGACCTGCCACTGGTTCCACTGTGAACATCTGTTAGAATAAGTCTGTAACGGTGGTCACATCTATCATTGCTGCGAAGCTGCCAGAGTTCCAGGTCTGTGGAGAATAGTTCTCATATTTTCATTCCACACCGCAGCGGGTGAAACTCCAAGTTTAAAAATAGAATTTCAGTACATGAAAGTAGCTAGAGCACGGGACGGGTAGTGTTAGCAGAGGTGACTAGTGCTTTTGGGAGGCTGATCCGTGTACAGTAATGTGTTCCCCACTCCAGTAGGTGAAGTTGGCTTAGATTCTGTTTCTGTTTCCACTGAAGACAACTTATTAAGAGCGGGCTTGCTATCAGAGCGGTTGGTCTTGCGGCAGGAGCATGAAGCATCCAAAGCTCTTTCCCATATTACAGCTTGTCAGTTACCTGTGATGTCATGAAAACCTCTTTGGGGTTCAAGGGTCGTGATTGGGCTCATGTCTAAAAACTAGTTGTTGGAGAAAAGATTGAGAGCCTCAGAAGATAGGAGAACAGAGCAAAAGAAAACCCCTCTGTTGGTCTGTATTATCAGCGAACACAGGCGTGGGGAGTTGCTTTTATTGTCTTCCCTTGAATCTTCAATTAGGCCTAAATGAGGCTTCCGCTGCGATAAAGGACTTGATATATCTGTGATTGAGAACATACATACCCATTTTTTTCTGAGGCGATGTAGGACTGTTCTGTATCTTTTTTTTTTCTTTTTTTTTTGAGACAGGGTCTTACTTTGTCACCCAGGCTGGATTGTAGTGGAGCAATCATGAGCAGCCTTGACCTCCTAGGCCCGAGTGATCCTCTTCCCACCTCGGCCTCCCAAGTAGCTGAGACTACAGGCACACACCTGGATAATTTAAAAAATTTTTTTTTTTTTTTTTTTTAGAGAGGGGGTCTCCCTATGCTGCCCAGGCTGTCTCAAACTCCTGGCCTCCAGTAATCCTCATATCTTGGGCTCCCAAAGTGCTGAGTTTACAGATGTGAGCCATTGCACCTGGCTGGAATGTTCTGTATCTTTTTTTTTTTTTTTTTTTTGAGATAGAGTCTCACACTGCCACCCGGGCTGGGATGCAATGGTGCAATCTCAGCTCACTACAACCTGGGTTCATGTGATTCTCCTGCCTCAACTTCCACAGTAGCTGGAATTACAGGTGTGCAGCACAACACCTGGCTAATTTTTTGTATTTTTAATAGAGATGGGGTTTCGCTGTGTTGGCCAGATTGGTCTTGAACTCCTGACCTCGTGATCCACTCGCCTTGGACAGTGTTCTGTATCTTGATAGACATGTAGATGCATGCATTTCAATGTACATACATTTTATCCCCCACCCCTGAAAATACACTTTAAAAACAAAATAACCCCTGGAGGATGTGGCTGTGCATGGGCAGGGCTGTGCCTGTGGGGCTTTTCTGACTGTAGGAGGCTGACCTTGTCTGAGCCAGCACCCCGCTTCACTGCCCCGGCTTCCTGGTGGGACTCAGGATGCAGCTGGGAGAAATCACTGTCATGTCACACTGGAACTGCCCGTGCCTAAACCTCAGTCAGCGAGTGATATGGGTACCATTTATTACAATAAAGGAGAAATCTTGCCATCAAGTAATAATAATAACTGGGTGTTGAGAAGAGCCAGAAGGAAATCTGGCAGAGGACAGCACATTAATTGTTACCACTTTTATGGTCACCAAACAGGGTTGGTCGAAGGAAGGTGAACATTCACCAGGCCTGGCTCCCTCACCTGGCTGTACCCTCCCAAGGTGACTGAGGGTGAAGCGCCTGCATGCTCTTTAAAGAAAAGGAGAAATCTCTGCCTTGTTTCTTTTGAAAAGTGAAGGAAACCTTCCTAGACCCACCGCTCCCCTCCCCCCGGCCCTACCCTAGCAACCCCCTCACATTTCATTTGCCAGAATGATGTCAGACAGGTCCAAGTATCAGCAGGTCACCCGCAAGGGGAAGGAAGACCACCATGTGGCTTGTTCACCCCGCGGGGCTCAGAAGGGCCAGCGTCCCCTGTGGGTCATCACAGGAACAGAAGTGTAGGGCTTCCGTCTTCAGGAGGAAGGGGGAAAGGTCGATGGGCAGTCCCCCTTGAAGGGTAGGCACCATCCCGGCTTTTTCCATGCTTTTCCTTGTTTGTTCCTAGGAGCAGACCTGTGATGTGAGTGCCAGAATTCCCATTTTCCAGATGAGGGAACTGAAGCTCTGAGAGGTTACATCAGCTAGCTGAGTCCACACAGCTAGTAGACATCAGAGCCTCCCTCTGAACTTGAATTTCCAGCTCCAAAGGCATGCTTTTTCTCTTGGGCTGCATGGCCTTTGCAAGATACAAGCCCAGATAGCAGCATAAGATAGTAATCACCTTACCCCAGCCACTGTGCAGTGATTCTGTCATCGACACCCTAACCACTGTGTAATCTTCTCCTCAGGCCCCACAGCCCGAAATGCTCTCTTTCCAGGATAGATCCTGGCCTGGGCTCAAGGCTCAGCTCAGAGCCGCCCCAGGCTCACCCCTGCTTAGGAAGACCAAGGAGGCAGCACCTTCAGTTAGCACATGGCAGTTCAGTTGCCCAAGGGTGACTCAGGGCGGTCCCTGTGGAGGAGCCGGCTTCCCAGGCGATGTGTGAGGCACACAGCCACAGTCATTTCCCAAGATCCTGCCTGTGCCAGGCAGCATCAGTGTGGCCACCTGTCCCTTCCACATGTTGCACTCATGGGAACATCCTATTTCCCTTGGATAAAATGTCTGGGCTGGGAGGGAGATGGTTGACTTTCAGCCCCGTGGTCTAAGACCTCCCACCCTTTCCAATTAAAGGGCCAGTCCCTAGCTGGGCCTACAAGGCTCTAATGCCCCAGCCCCGCCCACATGGCTGGCTTCTCTCCTCCTCTCTCCATCCTGCACTCTTGCACTCTCTCTCCTGCAGTGGAGCTCCATGCAGCCTTCCCCCTGAGCTAGTGCTCACTCACATCTCCATACCTCACCAGGATAGCTTTCTGCCTGGGCTGGTCCTGGGCCAGTGCCTCCAACACTACCTGCTGCTCACAGTTGCCGTGAGGACTCCATGTGGCCCTTACCGCTCCAGGCCCTCATACTTGGCTCAGGGGTCTGCCTTCCTCACATCTTCTCAACTGCATTTCCAGGACGTAGCACAGTGCTTCACACATCGCAAGCCTTCAGCAAATGTCCATTGATTGAATGAAGCCCATAGTGCTTCTACATCATTCTGGTTCTTAATGATCCCTCTAAACTGATCTAAACGGATTCATGTCAGCAGCAGCAGAATTGATATGGCCCGATGCAGCATCCCTCAGGAGCCTTGTAGGCATCTCAAGACTGGCCACACCCCCAAATATGAGTGGGCTCTGGTGTGGTGACTTGGAAACAGGACTGTTTGAGCTCCGTGCCTTGCCAGCATTGAGCTCTTCTCTGCTGAAGAGCTCTGCAGAACTGTGGAGCATGATGCAGTCTCTATAACTTGTCCAGGGAGACTTGGGAGAAGGTGCTGCTTTTAGAAACATCCAACCCAACCATGGGAGCCCCCGACACAAGAAAGCAGCAGGTGCCATCTTGGTGTGTTCTCTCTCCGCTGACTCCTCTCTCTTGCCTCCCCCCATCCCTTTTCTAGCTACTATGCTGTCCTGTACCCCATGGTGTACCCCATGAAGATCACAGGGAACCGGGCCGTGCTGGCACTCGCCTACATCTGGCTTCACTCCCTCATCGGCTGCCTGCCACCCCTGTTTGGTTGGTCATCGGTGGAGTTTGACGAGTTCAAGTGGATGTGTGTGGCTGCCTGGCACCGGGAGCCTGGCTACACGGCCTTCTGGCAGATCTGGTGTGCCCTCTTCCCCTTTCTGGTCATGGTGGTGTGCTATGGCTTCATCTTCCGCGTGGCCAGGGTCAAGGCACGCAAGGTGCACTGCGGCACAGTCATCGTGGAGGAGGATGCCCAGAGGACTGGGAGGAAGAACTCCAGCACCTCCACCTCCTCTTCAGGCAGTAGGAGGAACGCCTTTCAGGGTGTGGTCTACTCAGCCAACCAGTGCAAAGCCCTCATCACCATCCTGGTGGTCCTCGGTGCCTTCATGGTCACCTGGGGCCCCTACATGGTTGTCATTGCCTCTGAGGCACTCTGGGGGAAGAGCTCCATCTCTCCGAGCCTGGAGACTTGGGCCACATGGCTGTCCTTTGCCAGCGCTGTCTGCCACCCCCTGATCTATGGACTCTGGAACAAGACGGTTCGCAAAGAACTACTGGGCATGTGCTTTGGGGACCGGTATTATCGGGAGCCGTTTGTGCAGCGACAGAGGAATTCCAGGCTCTTCAGCATTTCCAACAGGATCACAGGTAACTTGGGCATTATTGGGATAGCCCCTCAGAGGCAGATGAAATCTATGGTCCTCTCAGCCACTCTCAGGCTGACTGTGGCCGTAAGGCTCAAAGCACAGATTTCTTTTGGGAAGAAACATTCCAGAGGCTCCATTGTGATTCCCAGGCAGCTTCCCATTACTCAGCAGCTCATGGCCATGCTGATAAGGCCTGCGGAGCTCCCTGGTGCCCTGGTATGCATCCCGAAAGCAACGGGCAGGGGACACCACAGTCCAGAAATCTGCTTTCTGAAACCCCAGCCATGGTCTTCTGGTCTCCCAAGTATATATAGTTACTTCTCTTTTCTTTTTTTTTTGAGACAGGGTCTTTCTCTGTCACCCAGGTTGGAGTGCAGTGGCACAATCTCCATTCACTGCAACCTCTGCCTCCCTGATTCAAGTGATTGTTGTGCCTCAGCCTCCTGAGCAGCAGCTGGGATTATAGGCATGCACCACCACACCCAACTACTTTGTATGTTTTTATTAGAGACAGGGTTTCACCATGTTGGCCAGGCTGGTTGGTCTTAAGCCCCTGACCTCAAGTGATCTGCTCGCCACAGCCTCCCAAAGTGCTGGGATTACAGGCGGGAGCCATGGCGCCCAGCCCAGAGTACAGTTACTTCTTTACTAGAGGAAAAAGAATCCAAGCATTGGACCAGGCCACCTTCTCCTCCTGGCACATTCACATCCTTCAGTGTTTCCTCTTGTCAGCGCTCCCTCCCCACCTCAGCTGCCGTCTTCCTCCTCGACCATCCTCTTCCTCACAGATCAGTGGTTTCCTCCCTCAGATGGTCCCTGACAGTCCAGGGGGTGTCCGTGCCAAACCTCAGCCCTCCATTGAACACCATTGCCTTGTATGTGCGAGGCTGCTCCTGCCTCTGGTGACTGATCCGGTGTGCACAGGTTTTGGGACACAATCCCACCACCTTTGGTGGGACCTGGAGGAATTACCCTAGTTAGGGGTTAGATTTTTTTTGTTAAAACTTTTTATTTTGAAATAATTTTAGATTTACAGAAGACGTGGAAAAATAATACAGAGAATTCCCATACACCCAGCTTCCTCTAGTATTACTGTCTCGCAAAACCCATAGCACAGTGATCAGCTCTGAAACGCCAACATCGGGGCAGTGCTATTAACTACAGACTTGATTCAGGTTTCACCTGTTTCTTCATTAATGCGCTTTGTCCAAAGATCCAGCTTGGGATCCCATCTTGTCTGAGTCAATCTTTGACAATCCTTTATTCTTCCCTTGTCTTTTATGACATTGACAGTTTTGTAGAGTACTTGTCAGGCATTCTGTAGAGTGCCCCTTAATTTGTGCTCATCTGATGCTTTCTCGAGATTAGAAAGAGGTTATTCATTTTTGGCAAGAATGCCGCAGGGATGATGTGCCCTTCCTGTACATCGTAGCCGGAGGCACCCATGCCAATATGCCTTATTGCTAGTTGTCTTACCCTTGATCTCTCAGTTAAGGTGGCGCCTGTCAGCTTTCTCTGCAGTAAAGCTGCTGTTTTTCCCATTGTAATTAGTAATTACAACGGAGGAGGTACTTTAAGATGATGCAAATGCCGTTTCCTCTTTGGCCCTCTCCCACTGATTTAGGACGAGTTTGTGGATTTTGCCTCTGGCAGTTTTTACTGTGTAGTTTTGAGGTCAAGTAGCTGGATTTAGGGCTAGGTTGAAGGGAGACCATCACCTGGCCACGCCCCTGGAGGAGGGATTTTGAGGACGTTCAGCTCAGAATGCTGTTTTCATCTCTTGCCAGATGACTTTGGGCAACTCTTCAAACCACTCCAGTTAATTTTTCCTCTTCATGAAATGGAGAGGTCCTCCACTTTTCCTCTCAAGAGGGGGAAAGAAATAATGACTCCTAATTATGAACACCCAATGATAACAGGAGATCCTTTCCATGTGGCGATGAGACACAACAGCATCACTGATTTATTTCATGGGCTGATGGAGTTTTATTTTCCAGAGAGGAAGGAAGTCTGGGACTTTTAACCACAGGAGGAAATAAATTTCTCTGTACCTCAGTATTTTAACCGCTGAAATGCCCACCCCTGCCAGTTGCAAGCTCTCATTTTCATATGACTTATGATCCTGGAGCACATTCAATGTTGGGCTTCATTCCACTCATTAATGTATTAGTCCAGATTTTGTAAAATTACTTGTCTTCTAGGCAAAAAATAATAGATTTTTCTACATTAATGGAGTTAAAATGAGGAAGGAAAAAAAACGACAGAAAATGGAGCAGGGAAGGCTTCGTAGAACAATAAGAAACGCCTGCTTTTTGGGCCAGGATTTTCCATGCAAGTCACTTGCGAGTGTCCTAGAAGAGCTGGTGAAGCTGTGAGCGCAGGCAGAAGACACCAGCTGTGGTTGGCTTGGCACGTCCCAGGCAGCTGGCGGTCTCATCCTCATTTAGGGAAAGCAGGCTTGTGGGATGCTTTTGGGCTGAAGAGCTTGTGGGATGGGTGCTGAGTCGCTGGCCTTTCCAAGGAATGGGAGCTGGGTGGGGGTGGGGGATGGTTCCTTTGGTTGTTTTTGGAAGGTCCTGATCCCAGAGGAGGCGTCAGTAAGAGTCTGAGAAACAAAGCAGAATGCGGTGCCCAGCCCAGCCGCTCACCCTGCGCTGTCCATGGCTTTCTGACTGCAGGAGAGAGCCCTGGCCTCTGCCTTATGTCCCTCTGTCTGAGCCAGGGCTGACCAGACCCTCTATGGGCAAGGCTTTGATCTGCAGCAGATTCTGAAACCCCAATCACTTCCACTGCCACTGGCTCACCTTAGTGTTAACAAGAGGCAAGAAGGCTGATCTGATCTGTCTCAAAGCCAGCAAGAAACAACTTGGAGGCTTTATTCTTGGTTCTGTTCGCCTCAGTTTGTATGGGCACTTGGAAAGGTTTAACCAAGAAATCAGTAAATGGAACAAGCTTTCCTAAAAGCAGTGCTTATGAGCAAAGGGGGGAGAAGAATCCCACACGTGTCTGGAGCTTCCCTGCTGACTTGGATGTCAGGAGTCTCATGGGCACTTGACAGTGTGTCCTTTATATCTAGCAGATTTCAGCCATAATCAGTGGTTCTGGTTCTCTCAGTCTCAGAATGAAGAAGTACAAAATCTTAGGCTTTCCCTGGGTGCCAAATGTCACTGGGCCACCAAATATCTTCTGATTGTGAGGTCTCCTTAGCCAATTTCCAAAGGGAAGGTCACTTAGGAGTTTAGATCTCTGGACTTCCTGGAGGTTGCCATGCAGCGCCACCATGTGGCAGATAGGTCAGCCCTGTGTGGACATCGCTAAATGCTACCACGTGGTCTTAGGATGCTAAAGCACCAATCCAAAGCCGACTGGTGGCTGCTGACAATGGGAGCCAAGAAGGGGCTTCAGGAGAAAGCACAGGCAGCCCCTCCGCCCACCCTTCCACTGGCAGACCCTGAACCTTCACTCCAGCCAGGGCTGGAGAGCCCGAGCACAACCTCTCTCCCCAGCCAGGAAGGATGACCCAGGTAGTGTCAGGGTGTACCCCCTCCAAACACCACCCTTATAAGACCCTTGACGTCCCTGTCACTGAGCATAGAGCCTTTCACGTTATCTCCTACGAAGGACACTGACTCAAGAGGGGAAAACGCCTCGTGCCAGGTCCTTCCTCAGGAGGGCCCTGGAGGACGGGGAGGGTGAACCTAGAGCCTTTGAATTTACTCCCTTGCCTTCCTAAGTTTCTTTGCTGATGGCCCCTAGAGGTCTTCTGGTTACCTCAGAGTACCTGTAAATTCATCTCAGAATCATGCCCCTGTTCTTTCAGCTTCTCAGAGCACTGTGACTTTTCCTACCGCATGCCTCTGGAGAGCCACAAGCCTGACCCCCCGAGCCTGTGCCTTTGTGGTTTTTTTTTTTTTTAGGGGGTTGACTGGGCTCAACCCAGTAAATATATTGTTTCATGTGAACAATCTCAGGGTAATTGTCTCCACCCTCCGCTGGTAAATGCTGCGTAAACACAGAGGAGAGGGCTGCCACCTGGCTGCCCTGTTTCCAGACCTTTAGCTGAGCCACACTGGCCTGGCTCAGACCATGCCTCCCACGGGTGCAGACCAAGACATGTTCCTGGCTTTCACCGCAGCCTCAGAGATGGTGTCCAAAACCCACTGTGGCTTCAGCCATCCCAGCTGGCAGGGAATGAATGCCCCCACAGGCTCTGCTCCCTAAGCCAGGCCTCCTGTTGAACAGTCATGTTCCCAGGCCAAGACCATGGTAGGAGGGTCATGTGCAAGGGAGAGAATTGGGCTCTTTCTGGTCCCAGCTCCCTACACCAACCCCCAGTCGAGGGGAAGACCCCTTGCAAAAGCAGGATTCCCAAACGCAGCGAGAGGGAAGTTCTGAGAGAAGCCTGCTATGGCCGCCCCTCCCTCCCACACCAGGTCCTCCTTGGCTCCAAGGAAGAAAGGAGAAAGTGCACTCTATTGCCTTGTAACCTCTGAAGAGTTAGGGTAGAATGAGGAATGGGTCTCCTCTGGTCTGTGAGTGCCTCATAAAATACAAGAGTGTCCTTTATGGCGGATCACAACATCTGCCAGGCAGCAGACCTTAATGAGATCTGAGGAGTGTGACTTCTTGTGCTTTAATTTTAATTCCTAAGAGCATTTTGTTATCTCCACATTCCCTTTTCCATAGCCTGCAGCTCTTGTTTTAATGGATTCTTTATTTCCGTAACATTCTGAGGATGCCTCATTGTAATGTTTTGCTTTCTTAAGCTCCCTGCCTATTGAATCCTCTGAAGTCCATTTTTCTTTTCTTTTTTCCCAGTCTTTCTTTCTCCTTTTTTAAATTTTTTTTTTGTTGTTGAGATAAAGTCTTGCCCTGTTGCCAGGCTGGAGTGCTGTGGCACAATCTCTGCTCACTGAAACCTCCGCCTCCTGGGTTCAAGCGATTCTCCTGACCCAGCCCCCCAAGTAGCTGGGATGATAGGTGCGTGCCACCACGCCCAACTAATTTTTGTTCTTTTAGTAGAGATGGGGTTTTACCATGTTGGCCAGGATGGTCTCGATCTCCTGACCTCATGATCCACACGCCTCAGCCTCCCGAAGTGCTGTGACTGTAGGCGTGAACCACCACACCCGGCCCCATCTGTCGTTCACGCTTGTACCTTTCCTTAAATGTCTAGTGATCCTTGGGCATCCCTTCACCTCTAATAATGAGGCCCTAGAAAGCCACAGGAAGCCCTGGGCCGTGGGGTGCAGGCAGGCTTCCTGACTGTGATGGGTCTGGCAGGGCTGTTTCGCAGGTGCCGGGATCTCAGTGCTGCTCAGCTTTTCTCCGGGCTTGGTGGATTTTCCCAGGGAAGAGTTCTCCAGACTCCAGCCCAGGCTAAGTGGGACCAGGGGCCAGGGGCCCACTACTTAATATGGAAATTTCCACAATTCCCTTAGTTTTTAGTGTGTTGCTTCTGCTGTGGCTGTGCTCTGGGCTCACTCCTCTCCCCTCAACACTGGGGTCTGGCACCCGAGGCCCAGCGTGGGGAAGAGCAGTGGCAGGACCAGCTGCTTCTTGCGGAGACTTTGTCCCCTGGCCCACCACTCCTTCACCTCTTCCTGAGCTTGCGGAGCCTGGTGAAGCCTCTGCCTCGTCCCAGACCTCCCCGTCGCCAACCTGTTCTCTATTCCAGGTCAGCTCACCACTCTCACCCATCTGCTTTCCAGCTTACAAAAATTCTCCCCTTCTTTTGGAGTGTAAGCCTCTTAAAAAATCCCTCTTTGGTAATTCAAGTAGGATATCAGGAGATCAATGTGGGGTTGAACCATCCATCTTTAACAGGAAGGTCTTCTCACCTCGCATTTTCCCTCCCGCCTGCCTTGGTGTTTGGTTTTGTCTTTTTTCTTTTTTTGATTTTGCTCCCTGGCCCTCTGTCACCACCTTGGTGGTGGTTGACGTTGTCAGGAGAGCTTCCCCTTTGGGAGAACCCAGTGAGTGCTGCTGACACAGGGGGGCAGAAAAAGGGGTGAGCCAGGAGGGAGCGGCTAAGGGCTCCTATCTTTCAGGGAGGAGAGTGAGTTTTGCAAGGGAGGAGGGCAAGAGCTGGGTCTGTGGGGAAACTGAGGCTCGGCCCCTCTTTGCAGGATGTGATTGTGTTGTCAATGCCAATTTTGCCTTTCAGACCTGGGCCTGTCCCCGCACCTCACGGCGCTCATGGTGGGCGGTCAGCCCTTGGGGCACAGCAGCAGCACGGGGGACACTGGCTTCAGCTGCTCCCAGGACTCAGGTAACCTGTGTGCTTTTTCAGCCTCTTGCCTGTTGCTGGCGGAGGGGCATTTCCCACAGGGGGTGCAGGGTGAGAAGTGGGCTTCCAGCACTGGCTTTGACTTTTCAGCTTTCCTGTGTCTCGTTTTCCTCCTCTCCATGGGGCTCTCAGTTCCTGTTCTCTGCCACATGGTGTTATTGGGAGGTTGAAAGTGAGTGAAAGCCTTTGCAATGTTAAAATGAGAAATGACTGTGATGATGATATCCACGGCCCAGACAGGCCCTGGAGTCAGCCTGCCGGGTCTTCAGCCTCTGGTTGGCTTTTTACGAGCTGTGTTATCTCAAGCAAGTTGTATGATCTCCTCCTAAACCCTCAACTTTCCCCATCTGCAAAATGGGGGTACTAATGCCCATCACAGGGCAGCTGTGAGAATTGAGAGACCTAATGAAAGTGAAGCACTCATCTTGTTCTTGCCACAGAGGGGGCTCTCCCCCTTGCCTTGTCACCTCACTCCATGTCGGTTGGCGTGAAACTTGGTCTCCCTGTAGAAACGCATCTCCACCACAAATCCTACGGGGCACAAGCCCAGGGCTGCTCCTTGTCTGAGCAGTCAGCTTCCAGGCATTAGAGCCATGGTGCCAGAGAGGTGGGGAGGTGGGGAGGCGGGATGGAGAGGGAGGTGGGGAGGTGGGGGAGGTGGGGAAGTGGGGTGGTGGGGAAG